GTAGAAGCTGCTGCTGGGGGCTCGGGCTGCTGCGCGGTAGAAGAGGAAGCACGTGTTCTCGCCATCTGCGAAAGAACAGAGTAGAAAGACAATCAGTATTTGAGAAATAGATTGCACGATAAGAAAGAACAAAGTGAAATTTTCCTAACTCCGTGGCCTCTGGGGGATAAATATAGACGTCTCCGTACCGATCCCTCAGACTCTACCGAGTTTGTCCGTGAGTAGCGAGAACTATGTAACCTAGTGCTCTGATACCAACTTGTCACGACCCGGATTTTCCACCGTCGGGAGTCGTGATGGCGCCTACTGTCGGAGCTAGGCAAGCCAAGTATTAAAACATTTTCTGATAACATCACAAAGATATAAATAAAACGAGTCATTTAAATAAAAGCGGAAGTCTTAAAAACATAGATAACTGAAAACCAAATGCGGAAGTTTAAATACAACTCTACCCAAATCCGGTGTCACTAACTCACGAACTACTAAAGAGTGCTAAAAACATGTCCGAATAGAAGTACATCAATGTTTGTCTCGGTACAAGGAAAACAAACTAATAACATAGAAGGGACTCCGGCCTGCGGAGGTTAGCTAGGGTACCTCGAAAGTCCCTGTACTGAAGTCAACTCCCGATCAAATCCTACTGCTGCAGCCCAAAAGCTGCTCCTGGATCTGTGCAAAAAGATGCACAGAGTAAAGCATCAGCACAACCGACCCCATGTGATGGTAAGTGCCTGGCCTAACCCCAGCAAAGTAGTGACGAGGCTAGATAGGACCTACCAAAAACAACCTGTGCAGATATATATGTATATACAAGTACAACGAAATAACAGCAGAAAATACCAATTAAGGCGGGGAGGGGACATGCTTAGGGGAAATACAGATAAAAACAACTTATCAGAAGTAAACACGAAACTACATCAGATCTCGTGATCTATATAAGTGGTCAGCGTGCCACACGATCCCATTTCATAATATATAAGTGATCGGCGTGCCACACGATCCCATTTCATCATATATAAGTGCTCGGCGTGCCACACGATCTTATTTCATAATATATAAGTGCTCGGCGTGCCACACGATCCCATTTTATAATATATAAGTGGTCGGCGTGCCACACGATCCCATTTCATAATATATAAGTGGTCGGCATGCCACACGATCCCATTTCATAATATATAAGCGGTCGGCGTGCCACACGATCCCATTTCATAATATATAAGTGGTCGGCGTGCCACACGATCCCATTTCATAATATATAAGTGGTCGGCGTGCCACACGATCCCATTTCATAATATATAAGTGGTCTCCCGGCAAGGGAGAATACGACTAAGCAGTTATATCCGGCAGGGAGCAACAACAATAACTTACACGTCCCGGCAAGGGAATAATCACATCTCTTTCTCTTACGTTCATTTCTTACTTTTTAATCAAGTCAAAAATCGAGCTAACGCTCCAAAGAGTTTACACATCATATTTCCTTCTCATTCTCTTCATATCATATAGAAACCATCAATTAACAAGGAAGAGCCACTACAGAATCCCAATTAAGCACAAATAAAGACCCACGGTCATGCTAGACACCGGTGTATAGATACTCGTCACCATGCCTATACACCGTACTCAACATTTAGCAATTAGCAAATAATACTCTAATCTTATTCCCCCAAGCCAAAGTTAGATCAAACACTTACCTCGAATGCTCCAAACTCAACTCAAGCCTCTAGTATAGCTTTACCCCTCGAATTCGGCTACAACACAGTCAAATCTATGAAATAATGACCTTAAAATATTAATAATAGCTAAACAAACTAAACCCTATGCCTAAATATGAATTTCTAAGCTTTATTCCCAAAATTCCAAAAATCGACCCCGGGCCCGCTTGGTCAAAACACGAGGTTCGAACCAATTCCATGTTACCCATTCCCCCACGAGCCCTGATATACAATTTGTTTTCAAATTCAACCCCAAAACGAGGTCTAAATCAAAGAAAATCGAAAAGCCCTAACTCTACCCTTTTCCCCCAATTTCAACCCTAGATTACATGATTTAGGTCTAGGAATTTGATAAATGATGATAGAAAATGAAGAAAACGAGTTAGATAATACTTACCCAAGAAGTTTTGGTGAAGAAGAGCTCTAAAGATCGCCTATGGGCTGTGGAGAAGATGAGTTCGTGTGTTTTGGGTGAAAAATCCCGCCAATGTTCTGTTTTGGGTATTTAAAATCACTGGGCTAAATTGCTCTATGCGATCGCGGAAAGGGCATTGCGATCGCATAGAGGAAAGGTTATTGGTCACTGCGATCGCGATGGGGCAAATGCGTTCGCGTAGGGGAAATTTCTGGCATCTGAGGCTTACACTGTGCGAACGCGGAAGGTGGAAATGTGTTCGCATAGAACAACTGGGCTCTAGAAATTTTTACTCTATGCGATCGCGGGAAAGGCTATGCGATCGCATAGAGCAAATAACTGGGCAACATCAGTAAGATTTCTGCAACACTTCCTAGGGCCAAAAACACTCCGAACCACCCCCGAATCACTCCCGAGCCCTCGGGGCTCCTAACCAAACACACACACTAACTTAACAACATCTCACGAACTTAACCGAGCGATCAAATCGCCAAGATAACATCATAAACGAGGAATCAAACCTCAAAATCATCATTTTTCATTCTAACTTCATAAACTTCAAATTTTAGATATTTAGTTCCGAAACATGTCAAATGACGTCCGATTTCAACCAAATTTCACAGAAAGCGCTTAAACCATATATAAGACTTGTACCGGGTGTCGGAACCAAAATACGAGCCCGATACCACAGTCTTTTAATCAAATTTTCATTTCCATTTTCCTTAATAATTTCAGAAAAACAATTTCACAGAAAAATTCATTTCTCGGGCTCTAGACCTCGGAATTCGACTCCGGGCACATGCCCGAGTCCCATATTTTCCTACGGACCCTCCGGGACCGTCAAATCACGGGTCCGGGTCCGTTTACCAAAAATGTTGACCAAAGTCAACTTTAATCATTTTAAAGCCACATTTTGAAATTTTTCACAAAATTTAACATATAATCTTTCCGGCTACGCGCCCGAACTACGCACGCAAATCGAGGCAAGTAAAAATGAGGTTTTCTAGGCCTCACAAGTACGGGATGAAAGAGAAAGCAGGTGATGACCCTTTGGGTCGTCACACATCCTCTCTAAAATTCCAATCAAAACTTACTCTCTTGATACAAATTTGATACATATCAACAATTTTATATAAAAAAGATAGTATTGATAACTTAAATACAAATTTTGTACAATGATTCATACATTATAGAACTATTTTTCAACTTTCATACAACATTCAAATAAAAAAAAATATATAACTACAATAGAATGCAATTTACATACAATTATTATATAACTTTATTACAATTTCGTAAGTACGTTGTATGTCATGTGTTCTTCTTCTTCTTCTTCTTCTTCGAGTTTCAATTTGAAATTCAGCCAATATCAAGTCTAATCTTCACCAGAACACCATCAAAATTGAGATATAAACTCAAACAATATTCCCAATTATTTGCAACAACATCCAATCCAAACAAATAATGGTTTTTTAAAACCCAAATTCGATTTTAAAGCTTTTTAATGACTGTCAACGGTGGAGAGTCAAACACCTTCAAAATTTATTAATTAACAATTTCAATTTGAACATCAATTGTTCAACATGAAAGGAAATTGCTAAGTTAAAATGATTGAAATCCATTGATGAATTCCATTAAAACTCTATACAACAAGAAAGCATAAAAAATGGAGGATATCAAATAAAGAAAAATTGGAGGAAAACAGAGAAGGAGAGTAGAGAGACGAAGAGAGAGAGACAAAGACAGAGAGAGACAAAGGGGATAAGGAAATAACATATATTCCTTATTCAATTTCTAATATAAAAGGATACTCATTTAAAATTTATTTGTATATAATCTGTAAATTGTATATGACCATATAATAATTGAAACTTGAATAGGAAGGGTAATAGTGTTTTAAATAGCTATAAGAAAGTAAAAATCCCGAAGTAAAAAACCTAAAAGCCCAAGAATTTAGGAGCCCATGCAGTTAAAACGCCCAATCCACCCCAGCTTGTCCTCAAAAGAGATAAGGCGTGAAGTGGATACTAATGATTGAAATATTAGGGGGTGTTAAGGGAAAAGAACTTGGAAACTCTTTTTGGAAGGTGGCTGCATTCTCAGCTAATCGATAGAAGAAGCATAGGATCCCCTTAAGAAATACTCCTATTTTGAACGAAAAGAAAATCGAATATGTGCAAAGCTTCTAGAAGAGAGGCTCATAAGTTGGAATAGGATAGGCTTCAGGTTTTTCGGGGAAGTCAGTCTGGATTTATTGACTTGATTGACGTAGGATTCTTTTAAAGAAAATCTAGGGATCCCTTTATAAACTCAGTTTTCTTTCACTGGAGAAAAAAAAATAGCAGGCGGCAGTGGGGAGCATTTCTCTGAGAATAATCTGAGTTTCATTCATAAAATCCAAAATCTGCGTTTCATTCATAAAATTCTAAGATCTGGTTTCAAATTTGTGGATTTAAAAGCTGGATCTGCTTGTTGTTTTGCTAAGAAGCTGAGCTTCATCCTTTCCTTTGCTTCCATTCTCTTGTGATCTATTTCTATTGCCACATTCAAGGTATTTTTCTTTATTCCACTCATGTAACTTTAGAGTATTTGGATGAATGGTCTACGTTGAGTGATTTAATTTGTTCAATGGTATTAGTTGAAGAGTATTAGGTGTGCAAATATAACCATGTGGTGTAAGATTGCAAGTCTTGAACAAGAGTGGCCATTGCATAAATTCCATTCTTAATTATGTCTTACAACTATGAAATGACCATCTTCAAAATCAATGATTTTCAGTTGTATGTGCCAATTTGCAGTTAAACTATTTAATAATGAAGGGAAAATGATACTTTATAGATATACATTCTGTATATTATATATCAAAATTATACAAATTTTATATACTTTTTCATACTTTTTCGGTTATAAAAGTGAAAAAAGCCATTTAATGAACTTCATTTCTGGTTACGTGCTTTGGTCTACGGTGGCAGGCCCAATCTCCGATTTAGTCCTCAAACCCAACTGTAATTGAGACCGACCTCTTGAATTGTTCAATAGTTCACTCACTACTTTCGAATTAAGAGAGCATAATTATTCATTCAGATCATTTGGCAATCTGTAAGCAAGAACAATTAGTACTATTACAAGTCCTGTTGATTTGCAACTCTTCGAGAGTCTCTTCACGCTTTTCATTATAGTTCGATAGCAATCCACACCCTTTAGTATAAACTTGTAGCCTCCATAAAATTACAAGGACTGATGTGTGGTAATTTAATAAGTCAGTGATGGATTTAGCGGTACGGTGAACTTATTTATCATTATCATTAGTTTAAAAACTATACTCTTTTTTCACAATGATTTTCATAAACTACGGTCTCGCAATAACCACAAATCATTGTGATTATATACAAGTTCGCATGACATAGTTATGATTTTGATAAATGTTGAAAAATACATATTTTTGAGTATGTTTGCATATTATTTCTTATGTGAGTTGCGGGAGATCACGTGTTTATAAACATAAAATATGCTCATTACATGTTTGTTGTGTGTAGGAATGAGTTTGGATGGAAGTTGGCGAAAATGGATGATTTGATGCAAAAAGAAGTTGAGAGGCAAGAGCTGGGAGCGTGCCCCAATTGGTGCATTGTATGAAATCTAGCCGCGAAATGGCCTAAAAAGTGAATCAAAATCAGTAAAGTATGGCACTTGGTCACCAACCCCAGCACGCAAAAGAAACAAAGAAGACAAAAAAAAAACTAGGAGCGTGCCTAGGGGTCGCGCACATTGCATGAACCCTAGGCACGCGACTCAACTTCTTCTTTTCGAGATAAGAGTGCTCAAGGCCGCCTCATACAAATACGAATTCATATAAATACATCATAAAATATTATTTTACTGGAAGAAACACTACTTTAGAGTAAGACAACACCTAAAGAAGCGAGAACACGCTAGGAGCAAGGAGGAAGTTTCAACCACGAGTTTTTCCCTTTCTTCTTCCTATTTTCATTGTTGGTTATGACTTTTAGTATTGTAATTCTACATACTATTACGAGTAGCTAATTTATTATCTAGAGTTTTGATGGACCTTTGGAGAATGCATTTTTGTTACTTTTTAATATAATTTAGCTTTTGAATTTCTCTACTTGTTTAACTACGTGTTTATTTCAGTTGATTGAATGGTCATCGATTGACTGTGTGTCACGACCCTATTCGCGCTATAGGTCGTGATGGCGCCCAATGTTGCCGTTAGATAAGCCAACACTGAATTATCAACTTAATTATTCATTTCTATCATTTTTGAAATTATGGATTTTTATTAAGTAAAGGAAAGTAATCGTAGAAAAACATGGTGATATAAAGTATTTATGAAAAATATAAAAGGAAAAGGTAACAATACAAGATAAATAGCATAAACATTTACTAGAAATTCTCAAAACTCGGTACCACAAGTACATGAGCATCTGCTAGGAAGTATAATACTAATACTACATCTGTTTAGAATGTAAAATAGACAAGACAGCATAAATGGATATTATGGAGACTCCATGTGTTGCAAATCGTATCATGGAATATAGCCCACGTAAAGTCCCCTTAGCAGCTGCAAACATATGCCCAAATGACCACAAAATACTCGCACAATCAGTGCAGAAGTATAGCATGAATACATAAAGCAACGCGTACCCAGTAAATATCCAGCCTAACCCCGAAGAAGTAGTGATGAGGGGTCGACATCGACACTTACTAGTGATCCAATAAATCAGTACAATAAATTATAGTTAGACATGAATTACAACGGTAATAATGAGGCAAGAAACTATAACTAACATAATCTTCTAACATAATGAAAACATGAATTTCTCAAAGCCAGTCCCAATACCTTATCCAAACTAATCCAAAGGCTTGAAACGCTACGAATAACATCAAAACCATGAATCGACGATCAAAACCTTCTCTTAACTTTCAAACTTCGCTGAACGCGTCTAAAACACACTTAAACATTACGCCAAATTTATATAGAAGTCACAAATCACAATAAAAACTTATTCCAAGGCTCGGAATCTCAAACGTACATCAATAACACCAAAGTCCACTTCAAAGCAAACTTAGGAAATTCCAAAACCTTTAAAATGCCAACTTTCCACAATAAGCGCCGAAACGCTCCCAGTCCATCCGAAACTCGATCCGAACATACGCCCAAGTTCAAAATCATCATACAAACCTATTAGAACCATCAAATCCTGATTTCGAGGTCATTTACAAAAAGGTCAAAACTTGGTCAAATCTTCCAACTTAAAGCTTCCGAATTAAGAGTTATTCTTCCAAATCAACTCCGAACTCCTCGAAAATCGAAACCATCCACACGTATAATTTATTATACATAAAGTGAAGCTACTCAAGGCCTCAAACCGTTGAAGGATGCACTGGAGCTCAAAACGACCAGTCGAGTCGTTACATTCTCCCCACTTAAACATACGTTCGTCCTCGAACGTGCCAAGAACCATTCCACAGTTACCCAAAATCATTGTACGACACCTCGTTCACCTATCCGTGTCACCACAATCCATAGGAGCACCTTAGCTCAACTCCGACTGAAGGTCCTTCCTGCTACCTTAGCCCACAAGCCTTAGAACCAAATTCCAACATCCGAAATTCTCTATAAGGTCCGATTCTAGCATACATACATTGTATAGATATCGACACGCTATACGCAAACATGATCATACCCCCTTGTTGTAATCACACAGTGCACCGCATAATTTATTTTCCCATAATGACATCCTCCAACCACAATAGCTGCAATTGTTGAACCCGGGGGCCTAAGTAACCTCATAACACATACAAGCCTTGTTCTAACCTTCGTAATACTGAAACAATGAAAGAGATGTGTAGAAACACATAATCACCCGCCAAATCAATAACTCATGGAGTCCCTCCGCTTGATGAGAACCATTGCCTCATTCTGAACTGATTAGTGATTTTTCTTTCTAATGTACATTATATAAATTTGATTGCACTGATTTCAGGTCCAACAACCTCGTCTCACCCAGTACAAGCTGCTCGGGCAATAAGCAACCTCAAACACAGTCTAAAATCTCATACGATGCCATCAATGCGCCAACAAGCCACAACTTGAATATTACCAATAATGATAAACAAACCCGAATACAAGACTATCCGACCTGCACAACGAATAAAAAAACCAAACCAATTCTATGAACTTATCTCAGAGATGAGAAACAAAACACACAAAATAAGTATAAGGAACCGTACTCAACATCTCACTGTTGCAGCGTGCAACCTGATCCAAACATCATACCCGTGGCATCGTGCCACCCAATGCACACATAACAATCAATAAGGGAATACCCGTCGAGCCAACATGCTCATACCCTCTAAACACATGTATATCATCCACAAGCACGCCAAGTACACAAACGTAATCCTAGGGAGACGGATAGTGCCATGTGCTACGAAAGCCAAGCATGACTAAGGTGCATTAAACAACCAACATCTCGGGAGCTGTATCGCTCATGTAACACCATGAACTACACAGTACATCACATATGTGAATAACCAATCTGTCTCACAACCCACATGGAGTAAAAGAGTAGCACCTGAAATAGACGAAGGCATGAATATCATCCACTACACCCGAAGACTCATCCATAAGCAATGATATGCTGGATAAGCATATCTGATCTGGTGTTGAATATACATTCATGTTAAGTCTACCAACGGAACTCAAGCCGAATCCGATCATTCCAAAATAGGTCAATAACCTTACAAAGATCCACAATGACCATATCTATAAAACATACGATCAGCCGTCCAATCTGGAACAAACTTGCACAGTCCGCAACCAATGGAATAGAGCGTCTCTCAGACATAAACTCTCCAATCAGCGACTATACCATAATCTTCATACCTGATTTCAATATCTACCACTAAAGTGACTAACACGTCACTCTTGCCAATCATTTTGTGAGAGATACTCCTACAACCTCCCGCTCCAGGTAGCAAAATCTGCATATCCATGGCAACAACCGTACTATTTCTGTAATGCAAATTAAGAATCCGCCATTCTCAGGCAACACTAAAATAGCGCCAGAATACTCTTGACATCTGAAATTTATCCCCCGCATCTTCTGAGCTCGTGACATTCCTATCAAAATTGGATTGCATCCTTGATCCTCAAATTCCAATTTCCACACCGCTCACTATGCCTATTATGATATTACAAGAGAGTGTAAGAATCCCATCATAAATACTGAACCACTAGTGGAATAGCAACTCCATCAGCCGGAACCCTTTCACTTAACTTATTTCAGAAGAAGAATCGCAACACAACCAACTCCCCATAACCGTAAAAGACACAAAACTCAAGTCGTGGCTGAGACCGTCATAACCCTTCGGGAACCAATTGCACATAACCAAACCATCAGGATTGAATCCCATCAAACCGCTAAGTTACAGAGGTTGTCAAGCCCGCAAGTGTAGCCACGAACACCTGTATAACTTTACCATACCGAAGGAACCAATCATTTCCTTAACCATGTTGATTCAAACCACTGCTAACTGACTCAACTTCTTCCAATTTACTCTTGACTTGCCTTTAAGGTAGCACCTCTCTTTACCAGCATACCATGGATCCCAATTAACAATCATTCCGAGTGACCCCACACCGCAAGACCACATCACCTCAATACCCATAAGCCATTTTATACTATCCTCATGTACTCAATAGTATCTCCAACTGATACACCCATCCCGAGGAGAATTTTTGTAAATCCGAAGTTGTTTCTTCTACCTCTCTAACACTGCTCTGCAGTCCTGGTGACACTATAGAAATACTCCCAGTACTCTTCACTCTCTAAGGCAAAACCTAAACCTCAGCCAAACATGACGAACCTGATAATCCTTAAGAACAACACCTTAAATCTCGAATCCACTAGAACCATTATTGAGAGTCATCCACTCTAATCCAGTCCCGATTGTTTAACCAAACAACTAATGCTCCATTAGCACATGAGCAGTCCAATGAAGTAACCGGATGAATCTTTTCCCTTGTACATCACATCCACCAAAAGCATAAAATCTTAATTATTCCACAACCTGCACATATCAAAAAGGTTACACGTAGCACACATCCATCAAACCCCTTGCTCGAATTACCCCTGATGTTTTCTTCCCTTAGTCATAACTAATCCACCAATGCATCGATAACCTGAAACACAAAGTCATATAACCACGTGACCCAATCATAGACGGTAGGCTCCCCTACTTAGCTTAGCAACAATCACATAAATTCAGAACCCACAATGACTCATTCTTCTCAGTTACCATGATCTCGCACCGTTACTCAGCCAAATTCCTCATAAGTTCATGTTGCACTAATCATAACACATCCTGAATTATCAGTCACAATCGCACACTCGACCTATTGACAATCGTACCATCTTCTTCTAGCGATCCAAGATCACATCGCAGTACATGCATCCCATTGGATAGAAGTCATAACTCTTTATAGGGACTTCATCAGAAGTCATGCAACCCCTAACCTTCTCACATGAGATAGCCCACATGTGTAACCTCATATGGACATCCTCCAACGGCAGATCCATAACCACATGCATCATGAAATCAGTTAATTCTCCTAGTTCCACACTCATCCTCCAGCTATAAGAGTCCGTTCATCCATTAGAATCAACTGAAAGGTCCAACAATTTGTTTGAAACTCAAAGCTACATAGCATCCCAAAACGACAATCAAGCATTCCTATCCCTCTTCATTCCCAGCAAACTTCTTTCCGTCATATCCAAACATCCTAAGTATAGAAGCTACCATCCCAAACGAAATCCATAGACTTTGTCTTCTGCCTACCGTGACTTAAATCATATGAAGCTTCCATAAGGCAAGTGGCTACCCTGCCACAAAATCCATACGATACGCTCCCATTCCCACTCCGATTTAGCCTCCTACTGAAGCGAACTACTTGATCTTTGCTTCTCATACTCGACCTGCTAATAATTCAACCACCGCAATATATCTAGTAATGCCCCATCTTTCACCACAAATAATGCTGCC